TAATAAAGGCCCACATCGACCACGCAAGGGGGCCCCAGGGGCCCCCGAACCCCCAGGGGCCCCCAGGCCCCCAGGGGCCCCTTGGCTTCGAGGGGTCCCCAGGTCCCCAGGGGCCCCCAGGTCCCCAGGGGCCCCCTGGCCCCCCACAGCTGGGGTCCCCCCCAAATCCCCCCCTCTTGGTGGCTCTGTATGGGGGCCCCCTAGGGGCCCTCCCCCTTGAAACGCCCCTAGGGGCCCCCCTATTAGGGCCCCTGGGGGCCCCCCTGGAGGCCCGTCTTGTATTGGATAGTCTGTATGGGTTTGTGAATAGTGTGGGGTGTCTGCATGCTGCAGTATTACTCCATTTGTTTGTATTTGCGTCGTTGTTGATGTTGTTGGTGTTGGTGCTGCTGTTAACTCGTTTTTAATTTGTTTTTGTCTTGTTAAAGGAAGAAGCTGAGCAAACAGATAAGAAAGAACCATACGGGTCCTTGCTTGTAGATTCTGCAGCGCTAAGTCTTCTTGATGAGTGCCCCCAGCACTAATATAGTTAGGGCCCCCCCAGTTTGTAGCATCTCTAAAGCAAGATAAGAAAGAAGAAACAGCTGAATTAATCTCTGCTTCAATATGATACGAACCAAGGGCCCCCGCAAGCTTGCTGCTTAAACGCTGCGTCTGCTTGCTGCTGTTTTCAGACGCTAAATAGCAGCTGTGCAGCAACATGTTACACAACTCCCTGCAGCTACGAGGAAAACCAGCAGCATCAGCAGACAAACCCAATATCTTCTCTAATGAACGCAGCACACCAAGGGGGCCCCCAAGACCCTCTTCCCACTCCTGGGGCCCCCCTATGGGACCCCCTGGGGCCCCCTCTAAAGGCCCCACAGAGGCCCCCTCTAAGGACCCCGCAGAGGGCCCCCGTAAGGATCCGCAGGATACTGAACCCACTTCGCTGCTAGCGGGGGCCCCTAGGGGGGGCCCCTGAACAACCTCTGTGGGGGCCCCTAATAGGGGGTATATTGTTTGGAAGACTCTGTGGCACATGAATGCGAGTAGAGATAAAACAGCAGCAGAATCTGCACCCCCAGATAGAGCAACAAAGAAACCACCAGCACCTGAACGACGAAGGTAATCCCACAGCCATAGTGCTGCTGCCTGTGCTGTCTCCTCTGTTGCTGCTGCTGCTGCTGCTGCGTCAAGAGCAGGGCCGTTCTGCATGCGCACCTGCTGCTGCTGCTGTTGCTGCTGCTGCTGCAGCAGCAAAGGGGATCGAATGGGCGCCATTAAGAAGGGTTTCTGGGGGCGGAGACAAAAGGAGACATGTATTCTGGGTAGAGGTGCTGCTGCTGCTGCTGCTGCTGCTGCTCTAAGAAATGTTGGATTTGCTCTTCTGCATGCACGAACAGCACTAAGATCTACAGAAACTGTCTCCACAGATACTTCTAAAAGAGAGCAGCGGGGCCCCACAGCAACAGGGGCCCCGCATGCATATACAGCTGAACCCCCGTCGAAGACAACCCTCCCCCCGTCTGCACCTCCTTGATTAGCATATGCATACACCCCACAGTGTCTTTGTGTTGCTTCTCTTAATAAAGATAAACGCCGATGGTGTTTGTTCTTTTCAAAATAACTGCTGCTTCCATTTGATACAATCTCTGCTCCCAACAAATAACAAAACGAATGCGGAGGAGACGGCGACCACAACTCTTCGCAGCATTCAAACCCTAAACAACTCCCTATACACTCCAATAACGCTATGCCTAGCATACACACACACACACACACACGCATATATATATATATATATAAATGCATTTATATGCATATTTATGTACATTATATATACAATGTATATCTATATGTATATCTATATATATACAAATATGTATGTACATACATATGTATATATATTTTTTTCTGTGTAGATATATGCATATCTACCTGCATTTATCTACAAAAAATGCAGATAAATGCATCTACATGTATATATATGCATTATATATATAGGGCGACGCTATTAAGAGGGAGAGGTAAGAGTAACGAAAGACTGTATTTAAACTCCTAATATTTAAACTCTATATTTAAACTTTTAATATCTTCTTCTCGAGTCTTCTCACCAAATGGCGCTGTCTGCTGTCCAGACACCTGAACCACCGCTGGGGGTAGCTGGAGCTGCTGCAGCTGCTGCTTCTGCGGTGTCTGTGCATCTCCTGCTGCAGGCCAAGCAGCAAAGTACCGGCTCTCTCTGTAGCCCCCTTCATCGACTAAACATGTCTTCGGACGCACTAACAACACGCAGCCATCCAGCAGCAACACCCGGCAGTTATATTGACTCTGCAGCAACAGAAACAGCAGCAGCAGTAGTAGTGGTGGTGGTAACAGTAAGTGCAGCAGAAGCAATAACAGCAGCAGCAACAATGGAAGCAATAACTCCAGGTTTAGCAGCAAAAGCAGGGACAGCCGCTTCAATAGCAAATATGCTGCACCCGCAGCAATATAGAGAGGAAGAGACACAAGCCAGCAGCAGCAGCAGCAACTGCTTCAGCAACTGCTTCAGCAACTGCAGCGACTGGCACCGCACCAGTTACAGCAGCGGCATCAGCAGCATCAGCAGCAGCAGCATCAGCAGCAGCAGTATCAGCAGCAACAGCATCAGCAGCAGCATCAGCAGCATTAGTTGCTACTTTATGGCCGTTGCTTACCCCATTATAAAAGACGGGTGCGCCCGTCTCCACCAAAATATCGTTGGTTAAATTTGAAGACAAAAGTTTTGCAATTAATTCCCAAGAATGCATCTCCGTGTCGCTCTCTAAGAAGTGGTCTTCACACCCGTACCCACATGTCTCCAGCTCAGGACCTAAGCAATTCAAGCAGCAGCAGCAGCAGCAGCAGCAACAGCAGTAGCAACAGTAGTAGTAGTAGTGGCGTTGTAAAACCACGCTAACGGAAAATGCAGCAACAACGGGTGCGATAGTGACCTGCTGCTGCTGTTGCTGCTGCTGTTCCTGTGCTTCATTGTGCTGCTATTTGGTACTGATGTTGCTGATGTTGCTGCTGGCGCTGCAGCTGCTGCTGCTGCTCCATGCTGAAATTGCTAGTGCTGCCGCTACTGCCGCTGTAAATACTGCTGCTGCTCGCACTGCTGCTATAGAAGCTGCTACAGCCGTTCCTAGTGCTGTAAATGCTGCTGCTGTTGCTGCAGACGTACCAACACGGAATCTAGCTCCTTGTCTTTTTGCCTGTTCGATACTTTCGGCGATCCGGCGGAAATTTCCCTCAAAGTCGAGGGCCCACTGGTTGAGTGTACATACAGATATTCTTGCAACTGCTTCGTCTGGTGATGCATGCGTCTCTGACCTGGCACGCAGAAGCTCCCGTTTAAACTCCAACTCTGAGAGGCCATCAGGGGCCTCCAAGGAAGAGGGGGGCTCTGAAGGGACCCCCGACGCGCAGACAGCGTCCATCTGGGGCCCGTGCTGATGCGCGAGCGACATATCGGTAAGGCTGCAGCGCCGGAGAGGTCAGGCGTGTAGATGCGGATGAGGTGTGGAAACCGGAAAAAATTATGTTGAAGAGAAGTTGAAGAGTGGTGTATGAAACTCAAAATATGTTTTTTTGCAGTTGTTTGCGGTGAAAATAAACAAAGCAACAAAGAAACACGCAAAAGAGTCAAGCAATCGGGCTGCCAACGAAGCAAAACCCTCTCATGAAAGGCATTCGTATTTTTCGTGCAAGTTTCAGAAGGATGATGAGGTGTGCAGAGACCTCACGGCAAAAATTGTCAAAATAAAAGGAAATAAACCAATAACAGCCAAAAGCCAACACATTAAAAGATAAAGTATTCAAAAGGAACTACTAACACTGAGGTTCCCGATGCAATTGGCGGCTCGGCGTTGTCGACCTTCAGGTGTACGTACAGTCCACGGTACCGTGGTATGCAGGAGTTTGCGAAATAATTACAGTTTGGGTTTAAAAACCAATTAAAATAGAGCAAATTTAATTGTTAATATGGAAATAGAATCTTTATTTGCGTGTATTTCCTGCTATTGTTCTCTGCATGGCGTCGCCTTCTTGTGGCGTCGGCCGGTAACGTGTTATTGCAATGCTTCTCCGATGATGTAAGTACAATTCAATAAAATATGAATATTTTACACTTAATATTTTCCTTTTATTACTTTAAGTGTACTTATCTTGAAAGGGCAGCAACTTGTTTGATGAAATGCGTTTAAAACCGCAAGAACAAACAAAATTCAAAGAAGACCCTTTAAGGTAACTCTACGCAGTTTCGGTTTGGCTGTTCATGATGACCTTTAGAGTGTCTGAGTTGTGCGAGTTTTTCTGTTTCTTATCAGTAATAAATTCGTTTCTCATATAAATGCGTACAGCTTGGAGGGCGTTATATGATGAAATCCACAGAATGTGTTGAAGACAAGAGACGCAATTGGCATGCATGCAAGTGCGACGAAAAAATTATTGCATGCAGCATTAGTTTTCCCCTTAACTTTATTTTGTTTGTGATCTCTTGCATCGGACTGTCCGTCTGTGTGCATGCATAAATGTGTGTAGATACACAACTAAAAGTCTTCCCAATTCACGCAGACACCGCAGATACGCTGCATTCAATTGAAGTGTACACTAGAGGAACAATTAATTGTTCTATGGATGCCGAATCTGAATCTGACGGGTAAAGGGTAGGTAGCATCTGGCTAGGGTGTACGTACACCTGAGGGATGCGCCTTTATATATATTTGGCGTGGAGTTCGGAGGAAACAAACGGTGAATAATAATAAATAGACGACAGACCCTCCAGCAGCAAAAGTGAGAGATTAGAAGCTGCTGCACTTCGTAGTCTGTAGACGCATGCAAGCGTCTAAACGGGGTGTACGGACAGGTAGGGCATTGTGCATACATTAACTAAAGCTGAAGGTCTGCATCCTTGTATGCATGCACCAGCCCCCCAAATGCATTAAATAAGTAGAAGAGGGTGCATGCATGCATGAATGCAAAACGCGTAGAAGCGGGTGTATCCCCACATGCTAACGGAAGCAAACGGCGGCAAGAGAAATTGTACTATATTTTGTTTTCAGTGAGTAGCTAATAATAAATCTTGTCTCCCCGACTAAACCCTAAACCCTAAACCCTAAACCCTTAGAGTGCAGTGACGACGAGGCTGTGTCCATAGCGAGGACATAGCATAGGGGGCCCTGCTGTCCATTCGTTGCTTTCAGGGCTGTAGAAGCACGTACTCTGCAGCACTTCCCCATCTTGCCCACCAGTCACCTGCAACCACAAACCCTAAACCCTAAACCCTAAACCCTAAACCCTAAACCCTAAACCCTAAACCCTAAACCCTAGTCTTAAGTATGGACGTTGGCGCACTTCAAAGCTGGCGGCAGGTCCCGCTGTGTCCGTGTGCCCGCACGCCTACCCCGGAACCCGCGCAACAAACCCTAAACCCTAAACCCTAAACCCTAAACCCTAAACCCTGAACGTACGAAGATAGAATCTCCGGTGAATACAGCGCTGCAGTCCATACGAGGGGATGGCATTGGCGTTAAGAAGCTCCACTGCTTAGCATCGGGGTCCAGTGCTTCTAAAGAATTATGAATATGGTGCTCTCCGTCTATACCCCCTAATACGTACAGGTGGTTGTTTGCAGACACGGCGCTACCAGCACTCCGCACCTAGACCACAACCATTCAAAACCCTAAACCCTAAACCCTAAAACCCTAAAACCTTCAAAACATAAACCCTAGGTAACAAACGCTAGACACTAAACCCTTACCCCTTACCAGTAAACCCTAAACCCTAGACCCTAAACCCTAAACCCAAACCCCTAGACCCTAAACCCTAAACCCTAGACCCTAGACCCTAAACCTTAAACCCTAGACCCTAGGCTGTGTGTGGGGCGAATCTTGTTATTATAAATAGAGAGTAATGAGTTTAAATTACCTCAATCATTGGAGCAGCGAGAGGCTGCCACCTGTCCATGCGCTGTTCGTACACCTCAGCTGTGCGCAGTCTCTCGCCAGTAGTGCCGCCCAATACCACCAGCGAATCTCCTGCAGCATTAAATAAAAATAAACAAAGATAATATCTTTCATTTAGATGCATTACTATATATATACATATATTTGCTATTATTATTGTTATTAGTCTTTATTCTTCATGTTAGGAGGATATTAATGTTCATATAAACATTACATAACCTTTTATTATATGTATTTTATTATTAATATGCATATATATGTATATATATATATAATAATATATATTGGCATTATTAACATAGTCAAACCGCTACAAAGGAGTCGCCCCCTCCCCCTAAGAGAGAGACACAGCTACGAGGCGACCGGTAAACCCTAAACCCTAAACCCTAAACCCTAAACTTTTGCTAACCGTGTGCGCAGCACATGGCGCTGGATCTGGGTGCGTTGAGGGGAGCAAGTGAGGTCCAGCTCTTCATTCGGCTGTCTAGACATTCAACAGACGATAATATATTTTCTCCATCGAACCCTCCAACAACAAAAACGCGGTTGTCTAAAGCAGCCCCGCATGCATTGCGGCGAGGAATTAGCAAAGGCTTCGCCCCAAACCAAACACCCAATAAGGCGTCGTAAACCTCCACGTCGCACAGTGCCTGTACACCCCAAACCCTAAACCCTAAACCCTAAACCCTAAACCCTTAACCCTAAACCCTAAACCCAAAGTAATAGTAAAGGAACAGGGCAGAAGGGATCTCAGCACGCAGGCATACAAAATGTTCAGCGCCAAACAAACACTAAACCCTAAGATACTACTTCTCAACCCTAAACCCTTCTAAACCCTAAACCCTCCTAAGCCCTAAACCCTAATAAACACTAAAGCCCTCCCCACCCTTCTAACCCTTCAAGACTCTCCTAAACCCTAATAAATCCTTGTGATTCCGTTTCAACCCCTCCCCACCCCTAAACCCTAAACCCTAAACCCTCGACCAAACCTAACACTAAAAACCTCTTTTAAACCCTAACCCCTTAGGAGTCATTATAAACCCTAAACCCTAAACCCTGCTGTGTATGTTCAGTACCTTATAATCGAGGTTTTGACCTCCACAGATATAAATTTTATTGTGAATTGAAGCACAAGACGCGTAGGCACGCTCTGTTTGCAGTGGAGGGCAGGGGCTCCACCGCTTTGTTTTAACGTCAAGGAGCTCAACGCTATTTAGATGCCTTTCACCACTATGACCCCCAAGCGCAAATATTAATGGTGAAGGAAAGAAATGAATACCGAAAAATGCAGCCTCTCCGCATACAGCGTCGCTCTCTGCGCTGTCTCTGCACATTCAAACATATACACAATACAAACCCTAAACCCTAAACCCTAAAATACCCCTTTCAAACAATACTCCAATCCTATACTTTAAACCCTAATTTATATACACTCTAAAGTCAATAAATATGCTGCATGAGGCCTCACACCAAATCTACTGCACCAACACCACCCAAACCCTAAACCCTCAACCCTAAACCCTAAACCCTAGAGCCTTCGTACCTGGGTTGAGGTGGAGTGTTTGGGTGTCTAAGGAAGTTGAGTATAATGCGGAAGAGCTCTGCATCTCTATCAAAGAAAATTCTTCCTTGTCTATCTCGAGGAGGCTGATGACGCCCTGATAAAACAATTTCTAATAAAGACCCCCGCTGTTGGACAAGGTTCTCTCTTGCAGTTTCGTATATAACCCCTCCAACGTTTAAATCTACAACTGTCTCTGCAGCTACACTGGCATCTACTACGCGCTGACGCTGCGCCTCGAACGCCAGTACTTCCTGACGAAAACGCTCCCGCTCCTGCGCACAAACCCTAAACCCTAAACCCTAAACCCTAAAACCCTAATATTCAAACCCTAAACCCTCGAAAACCCTAGTGCTCTAAACCTAATGAACATCCAGATAATTCAAATCCTATGCATACAACTGTAGTATTCACCCTACACATTACATAATAAACCCTAAACCCTAAACCCTAAACCCTAGTGAATTCAAACGCCACATTTACACATGTTGCAAAATAATGCGGTAAAAAGGCAAAGACAAAGAAAAGCAGAAACAAAAGATAAATACAAACAAGCAAAGCAAAGAAAAAGATATTGTTATAGGCCTACCAGCACTTGCTTGCGGCGAGCTGTCTCTTGCTCCTGCAAGAATTTTTGTTTTTCTTTTTGAAGTTTTCCTCGAGCGTCGTTGCGCTCTATCTCTAATTGCTTTAGCTGCTGCTGCAGCTCTGCATGCGCAGCGCGCCGCTCCTCCTGGTGTACGTACACCGCAAACCCTAAACCCTTAACCCTAAACCCTAAACCGTAAAGCCTTCTTGTTCAAACCCAAACAACGAACGAGTAATGCGCCGGCAATACCAAACCCTAGACCCCTAAACCCTAAATTACAAACACTATATCCTACGCCCCAAACCCTAATCAATAAACCCTAAACCCTAAACCCTACTTTGATTTTGTTGTACTCAGTCTCCTTGTCTTGCTGGAAGAGGGCCCAAACCTTTTTCTTCTCCTCCTCAAACTCCCTCTTACGCCTTACAAGGTCCTGCCATCATCAACCCCAAACCCTAAACCCTAAACCCTAAACCCTAAACCCCAAACCCTAAACCCTAAACCCTAAACCCTCGACCCCCAACCCTAAACCCAAAGCCCTAACTAAAAGCTCAACACTAAACCCTCAACACTCAGCTGTCAACCCTCAACCCTAAACCCTAAACCCTCAACCGCAAACCCTAAACCCTAAACCCTTAACCCTAGTATCTGACATTTCTTTCCCTTTTGAGTTCTGCTTCTGTATGCCTCAGCCAGGAGACGAAGGTCCTTCTGAGGTCTCCAACCATCATTTCAAAGTCTTCCAACGAGCCGCAGCCTCCGCTGGGGGCCTCCAGTGTCTCAGGTGTAACTACACTTAAAGGAGGAGCTGTAAGGGACCCCACCGGCAAAGAAGAAGACGCTGAGTTGGGGTGTATGCACAGAAAAAAACAGAAAAAAAGAAAATGTAAGATAAGGATGAGGAGGTGGACGTACACCGATACGCGTAGAGAAAAAAAAGGATATATTAAAAACATATTAGAACATATATATATATATATATAGATGTGTAGATATATACATATACATATACATATATATATATATATATATAAAGACAAAGAACGGCAAGCGGCAAGCAACAAGGAGACAGAAATAGATTTGTTTCAAGCAAATACCCATAGCTCCACATTTATATGCACCATAAAACAAGAGGAAAAACTAGGAAAATATCTTTCTGTCTCACCTCCGGTGTACTTTGAGGTCGAGGTGTATATACACCCTGAGGTTGTCCCCGCACCCCCTCGAGGAACAATACTCGGAAGATCTGTTGTTCTGCTTTGGGTTTCTTTTAAACGCATTGATGCATGCAGCGAAGTGTCTGCTGCACTGCCACCATAAGGAGGCAGGAGGCCCCCAGGGGGCCCCCCAGAAGGGTACGAAGGCAAGCCATAGGACAAGGGGCCCCCAGGGGCCCCACCTCTATCATGGGGACCCCCAGTAGGGGCCCCGCTGTGACTGCTGATCGTACTGTGGGCAGACTGAAGGGCCCCTACGCCAGCATTCAGGGGGCCCCCGCTTGAAGAAGCGTAAGGGTCCATCTAAGGCGAGAAAGAACGAGGCGTAGATCAGCAGCAGCAGCAGCAGCAGTACACACGAGAAGGCACCAGCACCAGCAGCAGCAGCAGGCGCCGCTGCAGCGTGATATAATTCTGCTGCTGCACTCAGCTACGACGCCTTAGGATAACGAACAGATGGGGGCCCTTAGGGGCCCACAATGAAAACTCCAAAGATGAAGGCGGCAGCACTAGTATGGGGGGTTGGGGGGGTAGGGTTTGCAGGCTATCACTGTACAGGGCTGCAGAGTGAAGGCTCTCCTTGTTGTTCAATCGGAGGAAAGGACAGTGTTTACATAGGAGCGTCTGAGGTGTATGCCCGCCGGAGCCTGTATGTACTACAGGAAATGGAGTTGTAGGGAGGAAGCCCCTCTTGCGCTGAAGGCGCAGATGAGATGCGTCTTGCGGCTAACACAGCAGAAAGAAGCTGTAGAAGAAAAGAAAGTGGAGGTTTCCTTCTAAAGAGGCAAGCATCAGGCATGCAATATACCTGGTAAAACAACGAAAAGAGAACCCAGCAGCGCTCTATGAACTGACGATGTTTGCGCCGCAATAATGAGTCAAAAATTGTGAAATACGTAAAAATAAAACACTAAATGAATTCAATTGCTTATTTCCTGCACGGAAATATAAACTCCTCGCTCCGCGCCGCTGGGGTGTATGGGCACTTCCCTACAGAACGAGTTGAACTCAAGGGTGAGTTCTGCACGTTCTCTTCACAATTATATTCATTTACAAGTTTTCATTCATAGTTTATTTCAATTTTCTCTTCCTTCAACATCAGGCCTCCAGCGAGGGGCAGAGGCTGCAGCAGACCGCGGGGCCTTCCCTGTCTGTGTTTTTCGTTCGTTCAGATTTTGCAATATCCCCTAAAAGAAAGGAATCTTTTGGTTTTATCAAGAAAGAAGCTGCAGATTCAAAAGGATTTCAAACAGTGTATTGACGAAATGCCTTAAACCTCCCTTCCTACAACAAACGCCTTGCGGTAACTGCGCCTGCGCAGCTTCAACCCGCAGACATACATACACCGTAAGCAAAAGAAATGCATTATGGTATTCAATTTAAATGGCAAGAGCAATCTCATCACTAAGCCGAGTTTATATGCATTCAAGAGGCTGCGGAGATGCAGGCAAAAAATATTATTAGACAGACGACGGGCGATGCATTCAAGAAGGAGAACTCCCGCAAGCCCGCGAACGAAAGCTTATTCAAAGTTCCTCCCCTTATATCTTAATGTTCTAATGCAAAGGCATACACCTGATGCTGAGGCATGAGTACATTGTGGCCTTATGAGCGGATCAGCTTAACAATTGTTGAAGCATGGTCTATCTATCCATATCTGAGGTTTGTACATCCCGCTCTGGAGCGTAGTCCAGCAGATTATAGTATGTGCACTTCTACTTGTTTGCGGAGGCTGGCTATTAAAAGGAAAGTAAACGCTTAGCAATTGCAGATAGTGTTAGCCCACGCAGCAAAGACCTGCTTGCATGCATATGGGTTGCCTTGCACAACCAGCTACAGCAAGCTGCGTTGCAACTCATGGCCCTCCACCACCTATCTGTAGCATCTTTACTCCATAAGGCCATAGTGCTCACGATGCCTGAGGAATGATGGGGGGTTAGCTGCTTTTGGAGGTCTCTTATCGCACGTATATCCTTTTTCCTCCCTGTTCGGCATCAATGACACCAGAGAAATTCACCCGATAAACCCTGTTATCCTCTAGTCATATTTGAAAGATTCGGGGTTTTCAGAATAGAATAATTACTCACAGGGACTTTAACTTCTTTAGCGCCTTCTAATGCAACTTCTTATCGAACAGCACGAGAACTTCGCAAATACTCCCGGAGGCATAGTGTCAAACCGAGGACACCAATCGCACACTTGTCCTCTCTTTTATACTCTACCAGCGAAACTCAAAAACTTAATTTGATTCATCACCCCGTCGATGCTTTACCCGTTATTCTTCCCCTTCCCTGATGTGCCCAGAGCACGGTAATCTGACCCCGCGCTGGACTTGGTTATTAATTGATAGGAGCCATATAGTTGCCAATGCTTAAATATAGACTGCAACTGCGCATGCATGCATTATGAGCCCCCCGGAAACGAGGGAGAAGAAATAAAGACAAACAATCGCCAATCACTTTCAAAACAAGTGAGCCGTGCTCACAGGATTCGCACGCTCTGCGAAGCGCAAAGGGGGGAGGGCAGCCGAAGAACTTCGCCATACGTTGGATGAGGCAGTTTGCTTCTCATTCTCTGATTAACGTGCTGGCGTACACCGTCGACTTACCCCACTCCATGATGAGCCACCATACTTTTCGTCTTGATTTTCTAAACCGGTTTAGGGAATCACCGAAATCCCCAGAATTTGCCCCCACGAAACAGAAGCAATGCCATTGCGAGAAGGAGCAACAGAGGGTGGTGGCGCGCAACGGTCACAAAACAGACGATAAATGGAGATGAATTTCACAAGCAATGTGGGTCTCTGAGTAATTGCTTTGCTTAGCAAACGAAAGCAAATCGAAAAGCCTTCTTTGACAGAGTGGCGGCGACTACAGGGGGGAGCATGCACAGAGTCAATTTCGACGGCGTAAAAGCCTTGCAGGCAATTGCTTATATCTTTCTACCTATGTGCTGTCCCGGGTCAGCTATTTTCCCGCTGTGATCTGAGCCCCCAAGTCTACATTCAGCCAGCTGTGCACCGCAACTGACAACCTTCCAGCTTGGGGCTTTGCCCCTCTCTGGCCCTGCCTTCCGCTCAGGCCCTTAGCACCATTTGACCCTGACCTGCGGAAGATCAGTACAGAATGTTTTCGATAGGGATGGTGGCGCAAAGGCTCTTCTCTCAACATCCTCCCGCAGTACACAACGCAGCAACGAACAGTGCCCGGCTCGGCATGCCGCAGCCCCGTGAGGACAAGACCAGCCGCACCGAAAACCAGCGGCAAAAACAAAACCGACGGAAGGTTCTCCCTCAGCAGCAGTACACTGAATAGCCGCAGCTGGCACATAAGGAGGACGGCTTATCTTGCATTCCAGCGAAAAGCCTTTCCCTCTTTGCTGAGCACTATTAATAACAGTAGTGCATTTATCACCATGTGCGAGTGCACTGCTGCGCTCAGGGCAATCCTCCCATAGCAGCACCAACTTCAATAGAGACCTCCAATGTTTCTCCACCGGTGACCGCTGCCGTCTCTGTCACTAATCCTGTTTCTAAGCATTGACGAATAATGTAAATGCAGAAGTTTCTTGCTGGCACCAAATTGCAGCCTGTCTGAACTCAACTGCTGCGACGGCAGCAACGGCGATTGTTTACAGCAGACACACAGGAGCTAGCGCTGCCGCACCAGCCCTGGGGAAATTCTAAATATCCGGATCTTCCACTCACGTAGATTCTTAAATAAGAACTGCTGCGTGGTGCAGCAATTGCTTTGCGCTGCTGGGGGGTCAAAACGTCGAGCCGCATAACTAGCAACGGTGCTAACGACGGCACCATTAGCAGCAACAGCAGGAGCAGCAGCAACAGGAGCAGCAACTCCAAGACTGGCATTTACAGGACCAGAACCTGCAGTGGCATGCGGTGCTGTCCCCGCTTGTGTTGCGCGAGTGTCGGAGCCAAAAAGAAGCATATGCAAAAGCACAGGCAGGAGAAGCGCAGCAGCAGCAGGGGTCGTCGATGCATACATGAGCTGCGGATGCGAATGGAGGAAATAACAAGGATGAATGTAGAAGAGCAGGCGCTGCTGACTGCAGCTGCTGCAGCCGGTAGGAGACGCAGCCAAGCAATAAACTTACCAGAGTTATATAAGGAGAGGAAAAAATGATCGCGGAGGCGGCAAGACGATGTTTCCGGGTAGACTGGACGAGACTAGCAGCAGCACAAGGGAATCTTGGTGCTGCTGCCTATTGAAGAGACCTTCCAGCCGAAACGAAAGCATGACAAACACATGCTGTAGTGAACAGCGCACTTCACTGTTACTACTTACGTCTCCTTAGTAAGTCCAACTAGGTGCTCACACCAGCTTCTGGTATCTATTCTCTATGCACAACCTACAATCGTTCTATTTAATCAAATATTAATTTCCAACGCATATTCGAGTTCCCATTATTAAGGGAAACCCAGATTAATAGAACTGACTGACTCCCCCCGCAGAGGGTCAGAGCCACGACGGCTGCTGCATCAGCCTCACCCTTAGCCCTGGGCCCCGTGTACGGACGAATACACCCGGTTTAATTGACCTCTTTTCTATCTAAAGCGTTCCAAAATAAGTACATTTATATTTTAATTATTCCCTTTCGTGAAGCTAGAGCTCTAAGGTTGCTACATGAGCTGTATTGTAGTGTGCGTGCACTACACATACAGCGTAGACAGAAGCAGATGCACCAACGAACAAACGAACACAGCGGCAAAAGGCGCATTAAACAAAATTATTTCATGAACTTGCATATAAAGTCACACGCAGCACCTGCGGAGTTTGGTTTCGTCTCCTGGAGTTTTCTTAAAATATACAAGTGTTCGTGTTGGCGGCTGGATGCAATACGCGACAAATAAGGATATCCTGCTGTTTTCGCTACCGAACTCAAGAGCGCCAATGAAACTGCAGCCTGAAACACAGGCTCGGGCTGCAGTCTCATTGTCATTACCATCAGCGACTGCCGCCGCTGCCCTTCTTTTTCTCTTGTCACTTGTCTCATCTTTTCTTCTTGTCGCGTCTGTGAGTCCTCGTGCAACATTCTACTCTCTCGATTCAGCATCCTTGTCGGGCAGGCATGCACCAAAAAGCACCAGCTTCTTGGGTGTAGCATAGGCTTTCTGAATTTAATAGAGCATAGTGAATCTGCTCCCGTTCTCCCCGTGCACTTTTTCCTGCACTGACATCGGCTATTGAGGGCCATGAAGAGTGTCTAAAAATTGCATGCAGTGCAATTGATTGATTCAAAATAGAGCTTGGGTATACTGGCATATGAAATTGCCTTACGCAAGGTCTTGCAGCAGCGCACATTGCAGCTTAATTGAATTCACATTCATACAGATCACTGCATGCTCTGCACAGGGCTACCGAAGCCCATCTTACATACACGTAGGCACACGAGAGGGAAGTCCAATGCTGCTAGCTCTCTTCAGTAATATATAAATACATAGAGTAAAAGATATTCATTAGTACAAATTGGTTTCCATGTTGAAATAACTCGCTCCTTTACTCCAGGAGCCAGCATCGCGCCTCCATGGCCACGAGGAGTCGACCGGCGAAGCCTACGTCATAAGAATTGTTGAGTTTAATATACCCCTAATTATTTAATATCTTTGAAAAAACTTTAAAATTGAAACAAAAGGAGAACTCACGGCCAAAGCAACACTCAGCGTCTACGCTGCCACTAGGCTGGGGCAGGCATGGGGTTTTCCGTCAGAATAGGGGAGTCTGCTTTCAATAAAACAGCCCATAGATGTTTCAATCATGATCAGAGTTATTAACATAGAATATTATTTGATTAAATGCACGGGACAGCCTCAGCCGACGTGGCGCCCCCAGAATGCGGATACGAACGAAACTTGCAAGGAACCGAGCACAGCCAAAAGTACAGCAGGATGAGAACAAGCATAGGAACCACGGTGGAAACACTACTTATTTGTAGTTATTGTAGTTGGTATGAAGCAGTGCAATTACATTACATTACGTTATGCCAATAAACCTCTATTTTTAAGAAAAAGAAACAAAAAAAAACATGTAAACGGCCGCCGATGCGTTAAGACCGGGCGTCCATCCATCTGCCGTTTAGAGAGGAGAGGAAGTGTCCATTGATCCAACTCAGTGAGCCTCACAATTCCTCATAGAGATCCTTTCTTTCCTTTTTTCTTTTAGTTCAATGAAAGATTTTTATTCAGTTTCCAGATGAGGGAGGAGAAGGGTACGAAGCATAAAGTGCTTTCTCGTCTCTGCTCTCGAACCGCCCGCCGGTGCCGCGCCAGTTTCCCTGAGGAGAAAGCTGCATCGTTTATGTTTATTTTTGTCATTTGTTCCAGTTGAATTATTTCAATGCAAGGAAGCCACGGAAAGCATCATTGACATTTGCCTTCTCTCCATTCTTTGCGCAGCTTTCCTCGAGAAGTTGGCCACTCCCTAGGCGAGCCGGGTACGAGAAACTCGAATAGCCTGCACATTGGTGCGTGCTGTTCCTGCTGTAGCGGGGTTCATTTCTTCTTCAATCCCCATTTAAATATTGAATTATCAATGTTTAGTTCAGGGGAAAAACCCCCAAACCTCCCGCTTCCGGGAGATGAGGGCAGGCAAGGAAGCCACCTCCCCGAGAGCGCGAGCACTGACGTCGGACTTCCCCATAGCATGGATCAGCAGGCGGTGCTTTATGGAGCCCCAGATGGCTCTGTTATTCCTGAGGTTGAAAGCGTAACACGAAGTAACAGAAGAGGCCGCAGGGGAAGGACAAGATTAACAAAGTCGCTCCCGCTGCTGGTGCTTCAGGTTTCTATTGTTGCATTGGTTTTCTTGGTGGTGTCCTGTGCCTTCCGCATCTCTTCGTCTTCAGTGAATGTGGGAGCCCCTCGTAATCTGGCGCATCTGGGGGGCTCGGGGGGTAATCCTTCGTCGTCCTCCCGCCCTGGCTCCTCAAATGGCTTCCCGCGTGGGCGCAACGGCGGCCCCCGCAGAACCGGCGACCCTCTAGATTCTTTGTGCAGTCGTTATGATGATGGCTTTGGAGACCCTTCTTCTGTGCCTCACGAGGACTTAGGATTGTTTGGGCCGCCTCAAACACAACCCCTCGACCTGCGGCAGTCCGCTGGATCATCAAGTGGTGTAGGCAGTTCAGGTGTACGCCTACCAGCAGGAAGGCCGGCTGGTGGGCCCATACCCGACGAACAGGAGGAGCCTTTGGACTTGAGTGTCGGGAGCAACGGCAACGGAAGCATTGCTGGGCCCCCTACACAAGGTGCTGCAGGGGATGCTGCTACTCATCCCGCATCAACTTCTAGTGCTGGGTTAGGTGGTCCTCCGCTTCCATTAGTCGGTACTGCTGGGGTTGCTGGGTATGGTGGTCCTCACCCTCCATATCCTGGTGCTTCTGGGTTTGAAGGTGGTTACTACCCCTTTGATGTTTCTGGTGGGGTTGGTGCTCTCCCCTCTTCGCAAGTAGCTGTCGGGGTAAGGGCTGGCCCGTCTGGACGTGGGCGTGGTTCTCGTTCCTCTTCTGCTGGTAGGGGTGGTGCTCGCCGCTCTTCAGTTGCTGCTGGTAGGGGTGGTGCTGGCCCCTCTTCACTTGCTTCAGGTGAGGGGGGTACTCAAAGGGGTGCCAGGCGTGGTGGTGGTGCAGGGGTGCGTCAACGTGCTAGAGGTTCTGGACGTGGAGCTACTGGACGTGGTGGGCCTTCTGCTGCTGGGCATGGCTTGCCTCATTCAGCAGCAGCACAGGCAGCAGCAATACTTTCAGGAACAGCAGCAGCAGCAGGCAGCGGAGGCGCTCGAGGCGGCAGGGCGCGTCGTGTGTTTATCCCTGCACCACCAAGTTCCCCTTCTTCTGCCTCTACCGATAGCACAGACACAAGCCCTGAGGCTCAGGAGGAAGGAGATGCAGATTCAGAAAGCAGCAATGATCCCGACGAAGAGGGTCTAGACATCACGTGGAAACTGCGTATATGGGGATCACAGGGAGGAGGATCGCCTTTAACACCAACACACGGAGGGGCAGGGCCCTTCCATCCGAGGCCCCCATCCGGCAGCTCAGGCAGCTCTTGGTGGCTGACAAATTGGCTGCATAGTGGGGGTTTATCTTCAAGCGGCTCTTCTCAAGGCAGCAGAGACAACCAAAGAGACAGAGACGGCGCCGTTCCTTCCACCTCAGATGAAGGGGCCTTCCCCGGCACCTCCGCCGGTCCATCTTCTGGAAGACGGAGGGAGGAACTGCTGAATAAGTTACGGGATTCAATAAAGGAGAGGCAGAGAGGGAGGGAACAACAAGAACAACAGCAGCGGGAACAACAACGGCAGCAGCATCATGGTCCTCATCATCCGCCAGACCGCAGTCACCACCACCACCACCACCATCACCACCACTACCACGGGCAAGGGGGAGGCCACCAACATTCCCACCACCACAGCGATCAGCTGCAGGACGATTCGAGCCACCACCACCACCACCATCACCACCACCACCAGCAGCAGCAGCAGCAAGCCCACGAACACGAACGCGGCCAGGGAGGACACCACCACCATCATCACCACCACCACCACCACCAGCCGCAGCCGCAGCCGCAGCCTCAGCCGCGGCCTCAGCCGCAGCCTCAGCCGCAGCCTCAGCCGCAGCCTCAGCCGCAGCCTCAGCCGCAGCCGCAGCCCCAGCCGCGGCCACCGCGGCCACCGCGGCCACCGCGGCCGCCGCAGCGTATGCCGCTGCTGCGGCTGCTGCTTGATGGTGACGGGGAGGACCCCTCTCTATACAGCCTTCTCCATGGTAGAAACCCCTCCCCAACGGCCCCTAGACCATTCTCATCGGCTGTCTGGGAATGGGGGCCGTTTGGTTCAAGCAATTCCCCTCACCGCCGCCGCTCACGGGGCAGGAGGGTCCCCCAGGCACCAGGCCCCATAAGGGGGCGCTATCAGGGACCGTGGGATTCGGATCAGGAATTGGGAGGCTCCTCTTCAGGCGTCAGTGAGACTGTTTCTGCCAGATTCTTTGGGGGTTCCTCTGGTGAAGAGCCCCGTCCAAGCAGTGGGCAGAGAAGCCACACCACAACCGCAACAGCTTCCTCCGAACAAGGCTCAGAAGGGGAGGGTACTTCTTCAGGTCGTCACCGTTTACCTGCGATGGTACTGAGGGGCCCTGGGTGGCAGTCCGCTCAACCTCGATATCCCGGAAGGGGAGATGCAGGGCAGGGGCCCCAACGGGAAGGCCTCGCTTTCCCTCTGGGGGCCTTCCCTCGTGGCAGACCCCAGGAGGTTTCCCAAGGGCCTTCAAGTGCAGGCCCCTGGGCAGGCCCTCAAGGGGGTTTATCACGTGCAGCCCTTGAAGGAGGAGGGTCACAGGGAGTTTCCCAAGGGCCTTCACATGCAGGCTTCCAAGGGGGCCCCCAGGAAGTCCCCGAAGGGCCTTCATATGGTGGCCACCCCAGGGGGCCCCAGGAAGTCCCCGAAGGGCTTTCATATGGTGGCCACCACATGGGGGGCCCCCAGGAAACCCCCGTACAGGGACCCCAGGTGGGATCCAGCCGTGGTGATCATGGGCGTGCTCCTTTAGGATCTCATTCGGGTAGGAGGCCCCAGTCTAGCAGTGGAGGCCCACCGAGACGGTGGTGGTTAGATAGTGGCAGTGATTCACGGCGTTTGTAGTTGCATGCGCTGCGATACCCCATACAATCTGTCTGCTTTTAAAGCCGTGTGTTGGTTAGGCCTACTCTACAATAATAATCATACTAATAAGAATAATCTTTTTCTTTCTTTTGTCTGCGCAAAGTGCTGCGTGTTCCCCGTCAAAATATGTGTGGGTTTTGCTCGAAAGTAATACACTGCCTCTCTACAAAACAAAGTGCTTACCACTGTCTCCTTATTAAACAAAGCGTCTACTTACTCTTTATACAACAAGGTGTGTCTTGTTTCTTTATTAAAGTATTTACTTTATTTTTATTTAAAAACATATTTACTGTCTCCTTACTAAACAAAGTCTTACTGTCTCCAGACAGATGAAGTACGCTGTCTTCAATAAACAAGTGTGTACTCTCTTCACTTAAGTGTTTATTCTCTCTTTATGAAGTTTAGGGTGTCTCCTTATTCAAACAAAACCGTGTCCCCAAAGCGGGGACAGGTTGGCTGAGGAAGTGGAGGCCGGGAGATGATGATGCAGCAGTTGTCTCCTTGAAGCAGCAGCAACAGCAGCAATAGCAGCAGCACCAGCAGCAGCATTTTGCTGCTTCGAGGAGACACCCCGCCTCGGGTTCACGTTCCTGCTGCTGGTCTTGTCTCTGTCTGCCTTTGTTTGCCTCTACTGTCCTCAGCATCTATAAATATATATATCTGTATATCTATTTATATATATACAGATGTATATACATATTTATATATACAGATATATCTGTATATGTATGTAGACCTGCATGTAATGCATATATATCTTTACGCATGCCGACCATATATATATATATATATATATGGTTATATCGTTATATATGCGTACATCATTTTTCTCATTGAACAAAGCGAGGAATACAACCCGGGAACTATTTGCAAGTACAGGGTTTGTTACTTCGATGAAAATTGATTTAAAAATGCATGCAGAGTGAAATATCCTTTTTATCTTGTCTGCTATCGGGGGGTGGCTTTGCCTCTCTGTTAGAAAAAAATTAACTCCTCTTTGTTCCATTTATTTGCAAAAGAAGGTAACAGAGAAATAAACAACACTTTATATAGAGATGTAGCTGCTGCATGTACACCGCAAACACACCTGCAGATACACCTCAGGTTAGCAAGAATAGAATGTTGATGCACAGGCAGAAGTCATTTGCTTACCTGGGAAAGCAAAGGGGACAAACATCAACAATAACTGAAACAGATAGACAGAAAGAGACAGAGAAGGAGAGAGAGGCAGATATAGAGACAGAGACAGATAAAGAGAGAGAGACAGATGAAGAAGAGGCAGAGACAGATGAAGAGAGACAGATGAAGAAGACACAGAGACAGATGAAGAGAGACAGGCAGATGAAGAGACAGAGACAGATAAAGAGAGGGAGACAGATGAAGAAGAGGCAGAGACAGATAAAGAGACAGAGACAAACAGAGGGAGAGACGGCTATAGGGACAGAGACACAGAGACAGAAGATGAGGAGACAGAGCGACAATAAGAGGGAAGGAGAGAGAGGCACTGAGGAGGAGACAGCAAAGCAGACACCAAAGGCGAGAGAGAGAGACAGAGACAGAGAGAGACAGAGACGGAGACAGATAAAGAGAGATAGGAGGGAGAAGGATCAAATGCATGAATCGATAGATAAACGAACAAAAACCGATAAAGAAAGACAGATAAATACTCACGGGAGGCAATATTTAGGCGAGGGGGCTCTTATTATTATATTGTTTGATGTGCTCTTATTATATGAATATATATATATATATTACATATATACATTATAGGACTATATATATGTTTATATACATTATTGGATTATCTATATATAATCCTAGTCCATATGTATATATACATGTATGTTATAGTTTATATGTATTTTATATAACAACAAAAGCAAACATCAACAGAGGCAAACAAGAGATAAGGCGACGCTGCGGTGTATGCACACACCAAGTTGTACGTACACCCCAAAGGAGAGGAAGAAGAGTAAAAAAGAAGTACTTTAAAAGGGGGGAAGGGGACGACGCTCAACTCGTCAGGGCTTGCTTGCCAGTTCTAAACCCTAAACCCTAAACCCTCCGCCAACACAGCGCATAAAATCTAAATCCCTACATCCTTATATCCAGCTCTTCAAGATAAGAAAACACCGAGCCAATATAGCCTTCAAACCCTAAACCCTAAACCGCAAACCCTCAATGCCTCAAGTATAAGGAAACACTGAACATACGCTTCAAACCCTAAACCCTACACCTGAAACCCTCATGCAGAAGCCTCAAGTATGCGAAAACACTGAACATGTGCTTCAAAGCCTAAACCCTAAACCTGAAACCCTCATTCAGAAGCCTCAAGTATAAGAAAACACTGAACATACGCTTCAAACCCTAAAGCCTTAACCTGAAACCCTCGTGCAGAAGCCTCAAGTGTGCGAAAACACTGAACATGTGCTTCAAACCCTAAACCCTAAACCTGAAACTCTCATGCAGAAGCCTCAAGTATAAGGAAACACTGAACATACGCTTCAAACCCTAAAGCCTGAACGTGAAACCCTCATTCAGAAGCTTCATCTATACGAAAACACTGAACATACGCTTCAAACCCTAAAGCCTTAACCTGAAACCCTCGTGCAGAAG